ATAGATGATAGATAGATAGATGATAGATAGATAGATAGATAGATAGATAGATAGATAGATAGATAGATAGATAGATAGATAGATAGATATAGATAGATGATAGATATAGATACATCAATTTGTTTCACTTGTTGATGCATTCATTGGCTGATTCTTATATGTACCCTGAGCAGAGATCAAATGTGCAACATTGGCATATTAGTATGAGACTCTAACCAACAGAACTACTCCACCAGGGCTCAATAAAACAAGATTTTAAAAATTAGCATGATCCTTAAATCTTATACCAATAAAAATGATTTGTTTTTCCATGATAACACCAGGAAGTATATATGCCACAGGAGAACAATTATATGGAAGAAACTCAAAATCAGGCTCAAGGTATGCCCTGATTTCTCACCTCCCAAAGGTCCCTCTTGAACTCAGGATGCTATTTAATAGGTAATGAGGGTTGCTCAGACAGTAACCTTTGAGATGTAAGACTTCAGAAGGTGTTTCAAAATCTTCCTTTCTAAATAAACCTGAATGTCAGAGCCAATTTTCCTAGAGCTTACCTACTGTGCATTAAAAGCAAGTTTCACTAGCCTTCTCATAACACAGTTGCCCCTGGGATTTTATCATAGGGTAGATAGGGTAGTACAACCTAAACATCCATTGCCTATTCTGAGGCTTGAAGACAAGATAACTTCCTTATAAGGAAATTCAACTCCTGAACTCAAATGCCTAGAAATAATAAATAATTTTATATCAGAAATATAGACATTTAAATATACATAGGCTTCACTCTACAGAAAACAATACCAAAAATAAAAATCACCTACTCATATATGAAAAATGGTAAGACTTAAAAATATATTTAGCTATCAGGCCCCAGATATCTTAAATAAAGTCATTTAAATATGTAGACATGTTAGAGAAAAAATATATATGGTAAAAATAATTTTATAATATAGCCCTGAAACACACCTCTTGATACTGTTGAACTACTTGTTCTGGTGTATCCCCTAGAAAGATGTAAAAGTCCAGAATGCCACCAGTAACTCTGTAAGTTACGATAGGAGTAGGCTGGATGAAAACCTCTACAAAATAAAAATTGAGAAGGCATATGTAAAGATTAAAATATAATTAGTGATAAAATAATTATAGTATCTGTTTAAAGTACTTTGCATTAACCACTTAATTTTAAGCTGTTTTTATATAATTATGAGGAAAGATGTTAAAGATAGAAAGAATACAGGGAAAAAATGGAATGCCCCCATGTATGAGGTTTATAATAGGATATCCCAGATGTTTCCTTGTAAAGACGCTGGCAAAAGCTCCCCTGGAAATTGCATAGCAAGGGATAGAGGAGCAGTCCTTTCACAACAAAAAGATTTCTTTCTTAAATTGCATTTTATTTAGTCATTTCTAAGAAAAACATATAAAATTTGATTTTTCTATATGTAAAACAAAATAATTGCCTGGATAACCATACAATATCACTGTTTTTGCTGAAATATTAATTTTGTGGCTTTTTATTATCACCAGTTTACCTCTTAAATATAGGTATTACACTCATAACATTAAAAACCAAAGAGTTTACATAACTTGAATTGTGATACACTAATAAAACATGTTTTCCTTCCTCTCTGCATATAGACCTTTCTCTTATTTGTAGTGGAATGCTAATTTATCTTAACAAATGAGGCTGTGGAATGGGGGATATTCATTTTCATGGATGTGTTTCAATGTTGTTCTGAAGGGAAAGGAAAGTTCCTGAATTATCACAATGTAGCATACTTTCTCCAAAATAGACTACTGACATGCAAAATTCATTGTCTCACTAACTACAAAACCTACTTATAATTCCACATACTATATCACAAACAGTAGAGCTTACTCTGATATATAATACCTACTATTGGAATAGAGTAGTTAATATATTTCAAGTTAAATCTCATTTAAATATATTATCAGATAAATTACTCTTACCCATTGCATTGCTGTTCATTAAGAAAACACCAAATGACTTTCCAGAAGTATCTTCAATGCACATGAAGAATGTTTGATGGCCATATAAATTATTATTATTCTAGAAGACAAAAATTTGAAAATTAAAATTTAAGTATATTTAACACAAAAAGATTATATATGTAAAATTGCCCTTACAAATCCCAATTTGTTTCTATATTTTACCCCTCATAACTCTATGCTAATTTTTCCTAGAACAGTGTATGTGCCATATGAAACTTTCCAGCACAAAAACATCAAAATAATTTTAATTATTACTATATTAAGTTATAAAAGGTGTGACATACACATTATACTAGTAATGGGTTATTTACCTTTCCTTTATGTTTTATTATGACTAAATGAATTTTAATTAGCTACCCATGATAGGGTATTGACATGTTTATCCATTATGTTCATGTATAACCAAGGCAATGCAGAGAATTTCCAAATTATCTCCACCCTCACAAAACTTTTGCAGTACATTTGTTGAGAGCTGATGAGTAGATGAAATGGAGGAGGAGAATCAGAAATACCCTTATGAGCTGAAAGATATAAACTTCTTGACTGAATGGATATGGAGGTTGAAAGGAAAGAATATATTTCAAGTAGCTATGAGGTCCTCAGCCTGGTGTTTATTACAGATAGTGGTGCCATAAACAAAGAGTGGTAGAATTCATTAGTCGCTCTGTACCAAATGAGGTTTTTTAAAACAAATTTACTTATCCAGTTTGGGGGATAAAACAGTTAGCATTGGCATTTAAAATGTTGCTAAAATTTGACTCAAAGAAATCATGAATTAATAAAATAAAATTTTAATGATGTTGTCTTTGGACCTGACAAATCTTATGTTCTGGAAGTATAGACACATATATACTAAAAAATACACTGTGATGACTGTCATACTAAAATATGAATAAAGGGTTAGCAAGTAAATATTAATTTTGCATAAACGAGTTTGGGAGAAATTCCTAGAAAACTTTATATGAGCCTCAATGACATTATATACATGATAGGGAATGTCAAGTTTCACTTCTTACAAAGAGAACCAACCCCCTGTGCAAATATGTGAACTTATAGATTATCACGTTATGGAAGAGAAAGAAGTAGGCATAAGTGCCCAATGTGATGTCCAATAGATAGGCAGACACTATTATCACTCAAACCCACATATAACATGCTAAGAGTTTGGAATTATTCTACTGCAATCACTAGTGATAAATAGGTTTAAGTACAAGAGTGACTGAAAAGGAAATGGTAAAATATAAAAATCAAAAGAAAACATTCATAAATTGGAAATACCTATTTAAGCATGCTTAAAATTAGTTGGTCCCTTATTGATATAATTTAGGACTTTGCTATCAATCCTTACCCTTACAGTAAATAAACTTCTGGATTAGGTAACATTGGAAGATTTCAAATAGGCTAAATATACCATCTGCTCCAATATAATTATTTTATTTATAACAAGAAAGATAGTTCCTTACATCACCAGGAAGTTGATCCCTGGTAAAAATTGGCCACGTTTTCCAATACAAATCATGACGAAATCTCTTATGAATATGTTCCCCCAAACCATACATATATTCACTGGGAAGTCTGGTTGAGATCTGTAAATACTGGTCAGAGTATACCAAGGGACCAATACTGGTGTCAAACCTGTACCATGAAAGAAGGAAATAATTAATCTAGGAATATAAAAAAAGTATTCTACTAGATACGGGTCTATGTTATTTTTCAGAATATTTCATTTTAAATATATCGCTCATTAGCTGTGATCAATTCTTAAGAACACGTGAATTATACCATCACAGGAACTTGTTAATTCCATCAACACAATTTGCTTCATCGCCAATATACTCCTTCACATGCATTCTCTCCTTTAATTTTCATCACAATCCTAAAGCACGACTATCTTTATCAATCCCATTTCACAAATGACAGAAATTGGGAAAATGAATTCCTGTTTTCTAAGGTGGCAAGCTGGTAGGCAGCAGAGCCAGATTTGAAACCTAGTTCTACCTTGCTCCAGAGACAGGGTTTTTAAATACAGTACTATACTGACTTCCCACCTCTAACATATATATTAAAATTAAGTTCAAAATTATCTTTAGAAAAAGAGAAAACAGTGTATGTTTTATGCATATTAAATATATACAATGAGACACGTGAAATAACATTTAATATTTTGTGATTTAACATAAAGGGAATTGCAAGTTATTAAAATATATTTAAGAAAGGCAACTGTGGAGGTTTGATCTTGACTGTTTAATTAACCTTTCTTGGAGAAGCAAGAAAATTTATCTTAAAAATTACTAAATTCCTTGTCACATATTCCTCACACAAAATTCATAATGAAGGTATTCTATATATATATATACACACACATATATATATGAGAAAAGACCTTTAACATTACTATGAAAATTAGCCTTTCTCTGAGTAGTAACTATTTGATTCTATAAATTGGCAACAGAATATGATAAATAATAGGGAAAAGACACAATAGGGGTTCTAGGTATGTGAAAATATAGGCAAGGCTAACATTGTATCGTTGATGCTCTCCGACTTCAACTTTGTTTGGCCAGTCCTTGTACTTTTCATCCATAGAAAATAAAACCCCTGTATCACTATATCTTTACAAAGACATACACCACCCTCTTTTGGAAGGAAAGCTATTCCTTCTGAAAGTGACTTAAAATTAAGATTTTTCTAAGTTCTAAAATAGAATAAAATTGAACAGTTATTTAAACTTGTATAAATATAAAATAATTACTTACAAAGTTTTTTTATTGCTTTTTCTAATAACTTTTATGCCAAATGGATTTTCTGTAACTTGTACATCATACAATGTATTAGAAGCTGCAGTTCCAGTAAATTCTTTTACAAACTGATGAGGAACTTCATATCTTCTATTATTTGGATCAGTAATCTACAAAGATTTAAACAAATTAGCATTACTTGATTCAAAACTATTTAATTTTCCAATTCTGAATTTATTAAATGCAAGTTCCAAATAAAAAGTAATAAATTTAATAATTTTATAGATGAGCTATTAATCTAGTCATAAACTTAATTTTAATATTGTTGAATAGCTGTGCACAAAATCAACTGTATAAATTGTTAAGGAACAAATAAAATTATATAGTTATAAAAGTACTATATATAAAATAAAGATTTTTACTGACATATAAAAAATTATAGTATTACAAAATATTGATTTTTAAATACCAGATTTTAGTGAATTTAATTTTCCTCATTGCCTTCCATTGTTCACTCCTTAGAAATCCCATAAGGGTTTTAAATTTGGTTTAAAAAATTTCTTAATTCCTGTGAAATTTTTGCTAGAAAGGTAATATACAAAGGATATGGTGCTGTTTTCACTTCCAAATCCAAAAGACCATACTACTAAATTACTTTCTAAAAAAAATCTGCAAAAGTTCGTTTCTTTAAAATAACAAATACAAGTGATACTAATAAAAAACTAGTGAGTGTAAGCTGCATTTATACAGCACAATTAACCCCCTTCTCAAATTAAATGTTAAACTAATCCTTAGTCACAGTCTGTAGTTGAAATAACAAAAATTACTACAGTTTATTGAGTTTTATTCTTAAGATACTGTTTCAAATATTTTACACTGACTACATTATTAAATTATCCAAAAATAACTACCTGAGGAACTATTTATGTTACATTTGAGTAAACAAGCTCAGAGAAGTCCAGTAACTGGCTCAGTGAGTCCTCTGCTATGGAATAAATATTTCTTGAGAGAGCAAATGTCTTGGTAGAATGAAGGGTATGCCCACAACATGCCTTTTATTATTAACTTGTTTTTAGAAATCTCAAAAACCAAACCTTGAACCGGAAGCGATTGGGTGTCTGATTTTGAGTTGTCAGGGTAACACTGTTAATGTCACTTCCAAATACTGTAGGTGAAGGAATCCTGTTTAATTTGGCTTCACGTCCTTAAAGAAACAAAAAAAGCATGAGTCATGCCTTTATTTATAAAGATTAATCATTATTAAATGTTTTTCTTATTTTTACATTATTGACTTTATCACAAATATTGATCTCTCTTTCAATATGGAAGACACAATCATGAAAAAAATTAACCCTTTATATAATCAATTTAAACATTCTTGAATACATACTTTCCATTTGATTCTATTTAAGATATTTTTCAAAGAAAAATTTAAAACATATTTTTTATTTCCACTTCAAATATACTATGTTGGATCACATGGCAGAACAATTCTCACCAGTATTTGTTGTTTTAATTTCCTCAGCATTATAGCCATGGTTATTTGCAAAGAAACACCAAGGTATAACAGAATTATTCCACGGCCTCCAGCAGCAACCTCGCAGTTGACAAATGGCCTGATAAAACATTTTAAAAAGGAATTATATGATTAGTACTTTTATCATTTGCATCAGTCTCTATTTTTTCTAACATTTATTCATGTAAAAAATCTTTAAATGAATATTTTTTAAAAAGCTTATTTATTTAAATATGTTAAAATATCACTTACTCTTTTTTTTTTTGCTTGAAAGAACTATAAATATTTTATCAATTGAATTAATTACACCATATAAGAGATTGATGCCCTGTGCTGTGTTTAATTTACATACCAGTGCACATTATTGTAAGCTCATGTATTTTAAAAGTTTCTGCCCTCTGGGTAATTAGAATCTATTCTGTTGTCATACCATCAAAGCAGAACTAAAATATTTGTGTACTAATGTGTCAAGGTGCAAGTAAGGCTATAAAGTGAAGATATGGCCCTGAATTCAAGCCTGCATAGTCTATGTAAGGTAGTTACTTTCAGCTAATTGTTAGTTCAATATTTGTTTGTTTGTTTGTTTTGTTAATTCTCACCCCAGGATATTTTTTCCATTGCTTTTCAGAGAGGGGGAGAGGGAGGAGAGAGAAGAACATCAATGTGAGAGAGACACATCAATTGGTTGCCTCCCGAAGGCACCCTGACTGGGGCCAGGGATTAAACCTTCAGCCCAGGTATGTGCCCGTGGTCAGGAATCGAATCTCTGACATTTCAGTGCAAGGGTCGATGCTCTAATTGCTGAGCCACACCAGCCAGGTCGTTAGTTCAATATTTACTTAGTTTATGTGCCATGTGTTGCAACTAGTTGCTGCCATTATAGTCAATGAACAAAGCAAAATACTGTCTTTTTGTAATTTTATGATCTATGTGAAAAAAATTGTGTTGAATAGAAGAAAAATTATATATGGTTATATAAAAGTTGGGCCACATAGTGATGTTATGTGTTAACATTGGTATAATTAGAATCTACTTAATATTTAAATTTAATAGTGTGATACACTTTTATAATTTGAACACCTATGGTTTTTATTTTCTTGGCTATTTGTCTTAAAGAAAAGTTAAACCACCATTTTTAGTATCTGACGTCATGTAACCTCTCCTATTTCTGTTAACGTCAAATTAAAGTGGCATCAGATACACATATGTGTGCATATACCCATGAGAACACACATACATAAAGGTACACTGCAAATGAGAATACAATTAAACCTGACCCTTTTTTTAGGGCAATAACCTATCAGACTCTAAAGTACGTGTGACTTTTGATCAGGCAATTTTATCTCTAATTATCTAACATAGAAATGCTCCCAGCAATACCAGGAGATGATTATATAAAATTTTTCATTTACATTAGTCTTTATAAAATATTTGTTAAATGTTCATTGAAAATGAGAGGTAGAATTAGACATATATACTAATTTGGAAAAGTGTGAAGTTTTAAAAACAAGAGACAATAGATAAGCAAATAATAAGCAGACCTTGCTAAAATAAAATAATTTAGGAAAATGCAGTTACACGGAGTTCCTGGAAACACACTACATGAGTTTCCTATAGCAGCTGTTACACCCATGAAAAGGGTGGTTTGAGTCAACATAAAATATTTATTCTCTCACAGTTCTGGAGTCTAGAATTCTTAATGCAAGGTGTTAGCAGAATCAGGCTCCTTCTAAGCCTCCAGGGAATAATTCTTCCATGTCTGTTCCTAGCTTCTAGTGGCTCTTGACAATTCTAGGTATTCTTTGGTTTGAAGATACATTGTTGCAATCTCTACTTCCATCTTCACATGGCCTTCCCTGTGGTTCTCTGTGTGTCACCCTTCCTCTTATAAGGACACCAGTCATTGGATTTAGGGCGACTCTAATCCAGTATGATGTCATTTAATTAAGTACATATTCAAAGACCTATTTCCAAATAAGGTAACATTTGAGGCTCCAACTAGACCTAAAGTTTTGTAGAACATCATTCAACACGCTACATATATACAATAAAATATTACTTTAAAAATGTATATTCATCCCTCATGCTCTTAATCTATTAATAATTTGGGATGTTTTGTATAGATTTTGATACTTGTTATTTATGGTTATCATTCTGCCTATTTTTTAGGCTTTCAGGCATTTTTCTCTTATTTTAATTCCTAATCTAACTTCATTTTTCTTTCTGCTTCATTTGAAAAAGCAAAAATTGAAAACGTTAAACATTCACCAATAAGCATAAACTTTAGTAGGTAAAAAATAAAATAAATTTATGTTCTTATTTTTTATTTTATGTGTATGTAAGTACATATATAGAATTATATGTAATCATATATAGTGGGTTGACCATATTATGAACTGAATTGTGTGCTCCCCATACTTCATTTGTAGGAAACCCTGAGCTTTACTATGACTGTATTTGGAGATAAGCACTTTAAGGAAGTAATTAAGGTTCAATGAGGTCATTAAGTGAGGCTCATCTGATAGGACTGGTAACCTCATGAGAAAAAGAAGAGTCTCTCTCTCTCTCCCTCTCTCCCTCTCTCTCTCTCCATTCACAGAAAAAAGATCCATGTGAAAATAAAAGAGTTCAGCTATCTAAAAACCAGGGAAAGTCTCAGCAGAAACCAACCATGATCACACCTTAACTTACAGCTTCCAGAACTGTGAAAAAATAAATGTCTATTGTTTAAGCCACCTATAGTCAGTGGTATTTTATTACAGGTGCCTGAGCTGGCTAATAAATACACTCTGGATAGAGTTACGGCTTTTTCTTAAAATACTATTTTAAGTTCACCTTTTATTCTTAAGTGAAAAATATAAAATATACTATCTGAAATTTTTTTAAATTCTTAAGTTTAATTTTTTTCACATTGTAAACATTCTTTGGCAGCCTAACAGGCTGACATTAAAGACTAATAGAAGGCATCAAAACCTTAAACCACTGGCTTTTAAATGCTGTTTCTCTTTAAGATCCTAACAGCCCATGTTTTTCCCAACAAAGTTGTATGTTAAGCTTCAATCATTTCCTAAGGAGAATATTACTGTAAGAGAATATCTGTCCAATTTGTTCAGTGTGTTGCAGTAAACACTGTTATTTAGCTCTATTATCAGGTAAGCAATAGAACCCACTATTCTTAATGTTGTCCTAAGAAAAAAATATCTATTTTCATGTTGTCATGGCAAATTAATCAGAAATTAAGTGAGATTCAGACATGCATATTATAGATATATGTTGTGGGTATAACAGATTATATATATGCATATTGTATGCATATTAGAGAGATATGTGATATATTAGGCATATTACATAATAGGTATATAATGGGCAAATATATAATTTTAATATTGTATAATGGTATATAATATGTTACAGTGCTTAATATATATTTACATCATATAGTTATGATACATTATGATACATGGATGCTGCAAAAAGTGAATGCACAAAGACCACAGACACACACTCATTGCCCTTCATTTCCATGCAGATCATGAAGCCCAAAGAAGAGCCAGTTTAAGGTTATATGAATCCATTCAGTTACCCTTAATTATCTCCATTTCAGCTTCTTCCAAATTATCAAATAATAAAAAAATTAATAATACTAAAAAAAATCAGTTACTTTATTTTCCACTGACACTTCTTAACGCTGTCATTTACAAATGCTACAGCTACAAATGCTACAGCTGAGAGTAGATTTCTCTCTCAAGTGTTACATAGTCAAAGGATATTTTTAAGATAAGAAGTTGCTTTGAGAGGGTAAAATTTTAGGAAGGTTCATAAAACTAATAGCAGCTTCTGTTAAGCATGAAAAATGTTCACTTTTTTATTTGAATTGAATAGAAATACAGAAAAGCTCAATTACTTCTATTATCTCTCATCTGTTTATACAGAAATAGAATAAACAGATGAATGCAGCCTAATTGATGGCTACATCTTTAAAAACATGGAATGGATCCAATACTGAGTAATTATCTTAATATAATTATTTTATACATCTATTAATAAAAAATATTAAAGACTTGTTCGCAGACCTTTGTTGGGAATTGATCTGGAATGCAGTTTATTCTCTCATTGATAGGCTCATTTAGTTCACTTGGACATTTTCCTGAACCAGGATTCACAGTGGTTGACTGAGTGGTCGCTGTGGTTGAACGCGTGGTCACTGGATCTGAAGTAGAATCAGTACTTCCTGGGAAAGAAAAAGGTCAATAAAATTAAATGCGGTATTAAATTATTTTTTCATATTTTTTAAAGTAATTAATGCTTTACATTGAAAGAATACATGAATTTATAAATAAAAATAAACTTGGCATTAAAATAGAATTCAAATCTTAGTCTTCAAGAGGAAAAGATCCAAATGATATTTAAAATTTGATTATGTGGAGTCCTGTTGGCTTTGTTCAGAAAAACAAAATAGATTCACAGAAGGCCTTGAAGTAGATTTAAAAGGAAATAAAATGCACATGCTCACCACATTTACAATTTGTGTTGCACAGATGAAGAAGGAAAATGGAGAAACATGAATGGGGAAAGAATTACAGGAAGAAAAAGAAAAGCAGAAGAAACAAGGCTCTTTGAAGTACTTAAAAGAGAAATCAAGGTATAGGAAAGGAAAAAGAAATCCCAACTCTATATAATAAAGAGGAACTTTCTAGCCATCAGATATGGGAAAGATAAAATTGATTCTTTCACAATGTAGAGCTTTTGGTTTACTGGAAGAAGGTAAAACAAAGACTAAGAGCAGTAGAAAATGCTAACAACAGTTCCTTTGACGATTGGAATGATGAAAAGAGAGAGCAGATTAGGTGGAGTGGAGCAGCAGGCACCCACCCTAAATTACAACAGAAAAATTCACAAAGATCAACATTTCAAGCCTTGTTTCCCCTTGCCTCTTTCTTTTTTTCTCCCACAACCTCTCTCTCCTTAAAGAAAAAAAAAAAGCCTAAAACAGAGTACTCCCCCAATTGTCCACCCAGCTTTGCAAGTGTCTGGAAGCCAGAGTATAAACCCAGGCCTTCCCACTAACTGGAAGAGCCTCACTGGTAACTGTAGACGATTATTCCACCTTTCATTAACACCTTGATCCCTTTGCCTCTGCTATTTCTCAAGCTATCCACTGTAGGGAAGGTGATTCATGTGAAAGCACACAGATTCCTTAATTACAATGGCTCTTCAATGAAATAAGTGTAATATAATGGATAGAATAAGTTGGAGTAATTATGTAACTTAGCCAAGCTCTTTCTTTACAATTTTCATCTCATATAAATTACTTTTCCAAATCCACAAATATTAAGGAGTAAACGTCACCTTAACTTCACTATACTGTGCAATTATTTTTAACACTACTTACCTTCAACAGCAGGTGTCTTCGTTGCTAAAACAGCAACTAGGGCAATAGCTATTATAGTAACTATAATAAAGAGGACAATCAGAGTGATTTCTAACGCACTAAATTTCTTCCTTGACATCTAAAAAAAGAAAGGAAATGCTTGTTTAAAATGCAAAATATATAGCTACAAAAAGCCACCACCGTTATCATAAAATTATATACATTTTTTTAAACTAACCACAACACAAGCAGAGCTGGAAACAGTTCCATAAATTTATAATCTAAAATAATATACACTGGAAAAAATGTAAACGACACATTCAGTTTTAAGTAAAAGGAGTGAATTCACGATGCACATTATAGTAGCACACTAAGGTGAAAACATTAAAAAAAAAAAAAAAAAAAAAAGATCTCCAAGCAGGTGTGCCTTGCTCTCTCATTTTAGAACATTTTTCAAGTCGAACAAACCTCAAATTTGTACTGTTTCTTAGTTCACACAAGGATAAATTCTCTGAAGGAAGCACTGTTATTCACATTCTACTTAAGAACTTCAAACTAAAAAATATCTAGTTCTTCCTACTATAACTACTTTCTTTCAAATTCCAACAGTGTTCCTATAACCATATTGTGAAATGATTATAAATATAAAATATTTCAAAAGTATAAATATAAATATAAAATTTGAAAATAAAAAATACAGAGATAGATATATATATATACACACACACACACAGTATGTTTGGGAGTTGTTGCTTTAAAAAAAGATTCAAACTATATCATCTTCAAGTTCCTTCCTTATATAGCAAATAAAATATACCACACCAAAAATACATATTTAAGATAACATTATGCATTTCAGATAGCATACAGAGGGTACCTAAATACAGACTGGGAAGAGATCTTCTCTAGCAATTATCTTAAAGCTTATTTGTTTAGTTTTGACCATAAATCTCTCATCTTTTCTAGTCTTCAAGTTTTTACGGGTTTTCTGTGTTCTATGATTTTTATATAAATCTTAATTCAATGGTCTTAAAATCAAAATTTTTGAAGGGGGCCTCTCACATTAGTCCCTCCTTCTGTACCTATGTCAGTTCATATTCCAAGTTGTCCCAACCTGAAAATTTCTTTTCCCTCTTCCAGATCTTTCTACCACATTCCATCATTCTACAAATACTATTGATTCTACCATCAAAATATTTTCAGAATTATGCCGTTGTCTTATCCCCACAACTGCAACATCTTTTTTGGATAATGTGCTTTCTTAGTACATGCTATTTAAACTGTCTTCAATCCTTCCATCTCTGCTTTTCTAGGTTAGTTCCCATTTATGCCTAGTTCAAATGTCATTTCCTCTGTGGGTCTCTTCCTACTCTTAGAGACAGAGTGAACGTATACTTTTTCCATTTTACCACGACACATAACAAATCGATTGTAATTATTTATGGATATATTAATTTCCTTTATTGTTGTATTTTTATAGCAAGAATCATGAAAGTTGTTCTGAGCCTGAATCCAGTAAGTACAAACTCAATTTTTTATTTTTTTAAAAAATATATCTTTATTGATTTCAGAGAGGAAGACAGAGATAGAAACATCACTGATGAGAAAGTCATTGATCAGCTGCCTCCTGCACGCCCCCGACTGGGGATCAAGCCCGCACCCCTAGCATGTGCCCTGACTGGGAATCGAACTGCAATCTCCTAGATCCTAGTCAATGCTCAACCACTGAACCACACCCGGCCGGGCACAAACTCAATTTTTAAGATACAACTTATAAATGAATGTTTTAACATTTTGTAATTAACAAATATATAAGCTGTTTAATACATCGGTAACCCTCAGGCAGCCTAAATGTAGACTAAACCTAACAGGAGTTTCTGAGCTGTTTAGAAAATGAAACTCAGTTGTTCATGTTATATGAGAAATGACACAGTTGCATTTAATGTTTAACTTTAAATCTCACTCAAAGTCATATCCTACGTTGGTATCAAGAAGCCAATAAAAATGACTGTGCTTTCCTTTTGCTAAGCGAAGTAAAAAAAAGTCTATTCTCATAAAGCAAACCCTCTTGTATCTAGAAAATGAGAACAAAATTAATGTACTAAAATTAAATTACTTTTGTGAGTACTCACAATCAGTTCTAAAATTGTTCACATGCTCTACACGGTAATTACAGTGATAATATTTGAATCACTAACTTTAAGCAACATATATTTAGGGAAATTATATACTTTGGGGAAATGATGTCCTTTCTCTATATTTTTTAAATTATCTTTATTGTTTAAAGTATTATAGATGTCCCCTTCTTTCACCCGTTAGCCCCCCCACCCCACTTCTGCCCCGTCACAGGCTATCACCACACTGTCTGTACACTATTTTCAAAATCAGTAATATATGACAGTTTAGTGACTGATCTTTAAAAGATTTACTAAAAAAGATTAAATGCTTTATAAATGTACCATTCTACTCTGCCTATCTATATTTTCTTAGGTAAAATGTATTTAATCAGACTCAGAGCATTTTCTAGGTTACAACATATTTGTATCCTTATTTCCTTCTGTATAAAACCACCTAAACCTGCTGCGGTTCCACTTAAGTCTGACAAAAGGTGTAAGAAGTATATTCTTATATCTTTAAAAGATTAGAAATATTTTCTCCTGTTTTAGTACAAGGGAATATATATTTAAAATGGCAAATGAAAATATGCTACCTTTGCTATTTTAAACAAGTGCAGATGGAAAGATTGTTAACATGGACTAAGGGAACACATAATTACTTGGAAACATGAAAGTAACAAAGAATGATTATCCATAACTTACCTTATTTCATAGGCTGTTCTGTTTGTTATTTTGTACCAGAGCTGGGTAAGGCTACCAAAGCAATGATCAGGGAAAGCTGCTCAGGTATATATATCGAGCTACTCGTAAAGTTTTATTGCACCTCAACCAGACTATCAGTACCTAACAAACATGTTCAGCATGCAATTATAAAAAGCCTTAACCCTAAAAATAGGTTGGGTCAATATTTCTCTCTGGAAATGTAAGTTAATTAATAATTGTACTCAAAAATAGTCTTTGATTTCTGTAAGCTATGAATTAGCCTAAAAACATAAAAGTATTTATTTACAGCGGTGTTTTTTTCTTTTATCAAAATTGTATGTAGCTTATTATTTGGATGTTTCTTCATTAACTTTTATCTCATTGTATAACATTTAAACTCTCACTGGAAAGTATCAACATATTTGTAAGCTAGGATTTGGAAAACATTTTGTAGGAACTAACAATTTAAAGGTAATAAATCATAAAAAGCAATGATAAACTAAAAGTTATTCCCTGTCTCATTGTTAATCTTAAGGTAGAAGAACTGACCAAATCAATAAAAATAAAATGTAAAAGCAGAGATATATATATAAATAATACAAAATTAAAATCAAAATTTATTTATCCGTTTTCAGGCACTAACTTGTCAAAATTATATTGTAAACATTTACCATTTCATACTGTAAAAATTACAGTATCAATTACACTACTGGTTTAAACTAGTATAGTATTTAAGAACAAAGTATTTAATATGAGGGACCTGGGAGAAAACGCTAGCTGTATTACATATACCTGAGAAACCATGGATGAATTGTTAATTTCTTTAAGCTTAGGTCTCTTTATCTATAAGGTGGAAATAAAAATACTTACCCAAAAGGTCACTGTGAGACTTATATGATATAACATAGTATATTATCATTACTGCAACTCTACTATCATGAAGTAGAGTCATGAGTACAATTTGACTCTAAAAAGGTTAGTTTCTGAGTTCTGCAGAGAATCTTGCCACTATCTTTTTAAAGGAATGTATATATTTTTAAACATGGTCACACACAGTAGAGCAACTAGATTTTGAGTTTAAAGAGAAACAATAAAAGAAGTGTATGCTTGGATTACTGTAAGACTCAGGGGAGATATAAAGGAGAACTTCCAGTGTGTAAAGAGCAGTGATGTGAAAATGTGATTAGAATCATTCTAGAATGGTCTCAGTGGGCAGAACTAAGTCCCATGTAATAAAAATTATGAGTGATTTACTCTCTATCCAAAGAGCACAAAATTATATACGTGGAAAATGTCATTAAATCTATCCAAATCCCCTAGAACCAAGATGTGAATATAGCAAAGTTACAGGATGGAAGGTCAATTTACAAAGTCAATCATGTTCCTATGTAGCAACTGGAAACTAAAACCACAACATACATACATACCTATATAGCACATATATATATAAGTATAAATGAATAGAAAATTTATGATAGCATAAATATGAGTATTTGGGTATAAATCCAACAAAATATATGCAAAACCTCTATTCTGAAAACAACAAAATACTCATAAAAGAAATCAAAGCTCTAAATAAGTGGAGAGATAAACTATATTCATGGATTATACAATTTAATATTATGCTGCTGTTGATTCTTTACAATTAGACCTATATATTCAATATAATCCTAATAAAAAATCCCAGGAGGGAGGAGAAACTAGATGGTGGTGCAGGTAACAGCTGCACCTGCTGCCTCCTGCAACCACATCAAAATTACAATGAAAATATAGAATCACCATCATTCAGAGCCTCCTGAGATCTGGCTGAACAGAAGCCCTACAACCAGGGAACTGAGGAAGCACCGAGACTGGTAGGAGGGACAGAGACACCGGCAGATGGAGGCTGAATCCTGGAGACACAGCCGTGGGCCCACACCTGGTGCCAGGTTTATACCCAGGAGGGAATCTCGGCGGTGGGGGGTTCCTGGAGGAATGAGGGGTCCCAGCCGCACAGCAGGCCCCCAGCCCAGGGCTCCAGGGCTGGGAAGAGACATCCGCACAACTCCGGGTTGTGAAGCCAGCGGGGACTGTCTCTTAGGGTCGCAGAGGTGGCAGGAGCCCCAGCAGCTCCTCTTAAAGGGCCGGCACAGGGACTCACTCAGACATGCTCCCTCTGAGCCCCAGAGCCCGGCAGCAGCTTGAAAGGAACCTGGGACACTTGGGGAGGAACTAACCTGCCTGAAATCCGGGCGAGAGGTGGAGGGGCAGCTTTCTCCCAGACAGAAGAGCTGGTGGAGGCCACTGCTCCTTTTGAGAGCCACCACCCCAACCCATCCCC